CTCCCTTGGGACTGCTGGAAGTATCAGGTGAGCGAATGCAGTTAGGTATCCATCACAGGGCCTGTGTGCAGAGGCCTCAGCCATTTTTCCTAAGCCAGAGCTTCTTCCAATGTCATATGCTGCCTGGAAATTCTGATGAAGGAACCGAAGAATGTTCAAGGTGGAGGTAATTTGAGCTGGGCCCTGAAGGAGGAGTAAGATTCCAGCTTATGTGGCCAGGGCCAGATTTCTTTACTGAGTTCATCCGACTACAAAATGGAGATGATGACACCCAGTTTCTGTCTCCCTCTGGGAGCGCTGGTCTGGCTTAAAGTCTCTCAAGAGGAAAACACCATAATTAAAAGGCATCATTGTTATTCAACTGGAAAAGTACCTTCCCAGAACAAGTGAACTAATCCCCGCTGAATATGATTCTGCTTGTGCTGCGTATGATTGGACATTCAGTGTGGATTTAACCCAGGGTGTCCACTGTGCTGTCAGTCAGAGCTAAGTATAACGGGGCACTTAGTAAATGTGGAGGTAATTAAAGCCATCCAGATGCTGGACATGGCTGAGCTTTGTGCTGCTCTAGGACTGAAGCGCTTTAGAGAGTTCTGGAGTCTCTCCTTGGAGGGGCACTGGGAGTGTAAGCCTGGTATGAGCCTTTGCTGCCGCTGTACCCTTCTGCTGGACACTGAAAGCCACTCATTCTAGGAAGTCTTCTCTGATCACCAAGACAGAGTCTGATGTCTGGGATTTCCTGTCACTGCACACACTTCTCACCATATCCTGTTGTCTTAGTTTGTTTCTATGCCCATCTCCCCATCCAGAGCCCAAGATATTGTCCCTAGAATTTTTCTGACCTACAGTTGGTGCTCAACAAATATCTGCTAAATGAAGCTTTTTAGGTTTCAGAACCATGGGAAATCTTGGGTCTCAAGAGCAGATCAAGGTGTTTGGATTTTCCTGGGAAGGGTAGACCCTGCATGGTTTTGACATGTGATCGATCTTCTGATGGAAATTCTGCTCGATGCCCTCCTCTGATGGAAGTTCTGTTCGATGCCCTTCTAAAGAAGGATAGGCTCATGAGACCAGCATGGAAACTTGAGCCTATCCTTCTTTGCAGCAGACCTGAGCCCTGCGGATTTACAGATATCTGAGTGTGGAATCCACCCGAGTCCACACCTTGTAGAAAGCAGCAGGAGAGCAGGCCCTAAACAATCGAAGTTGCTTATCCACTATGAGACTCCTGGAGGCCCAGAGAACGAGTCCAGAATGTGACGAGTCTCCACTGCTGCCTGGGCCCCATTGGCTCCAAGATGAACCCGTCGCTGGCCTTTCTGGCACATGGAGAATGTCCCCACTGCCTGAGGAGAGAGGCCCCACCTTGTGGTCCTGTATTCGGGATTCAGCGGGACCCACCGGGATCCACCATCCTCAGCATTCTTGGCTTCGTGCTGGAGCTGAGTGTAAGGCGACAGGAGTTGCTGGGAACACTGTGATACCTGGCTCAGGCAGCAACCACCCAAGTCATGTGTGACCAGGATCTTGCACTGAGAGCCACCTGCGCTGAACAAGGCCCTGGACTCTGGTCTCACCACTGTCTCTGATTGACTCCTCCAGCTGGCATTTCTGTCTCTGGATTCAGAGTCTGGGGTGGAGCTTCTGGCTGGTCATGGTTGGGTCCAGCATCCATGCTTCAGCAGGAATTGAGGGGAGTGTGTCTACCCCATTCATCTGCCATTATCTCCCTGCTTCTTGGGATTCTCGCAAATGGGGGCTCAGACACTGGGCAGCCCAAGTGACAAATACCAGCGGGGTTCCCCTTCTCTGATCTCGATATTCTCTTCCATTACTCTTAAGAAGGTCTCCATCTCCTCGGCCCATCTCTGCTCCACACAGTGTCTGCTGAGGTGCCTGGGTCTGGATAATCCACTTCCAAGATAGTTTCTTTGTTCAAAAAATGTTATTTTATTTTATTTTTATTTGAGATGGAATCTTGCTCTGTTGCCTAGTTTGGAGTGCAGTGGCGCCATCTTGGCTCATTGCTACCTCTGCCTCCTGGGTTCAAGTGATTCTTCTGCATCAGCCTCCTGAGTAGCTGGGATTACAGGTGTGCACCACCATGCCTGGCTAATTTTTATATTTTAGTAGAGACAGGGTTTCACCATTTTGGCCAGGCTGGTCTTGAACTCCTGACCTCAAGTGATCTGCCTGCCTTGGCTTCCCAAAGTGCTGGGATTACAGGTGTGAGTCACTGCGTTTGGCCCAAAATTTTAAAATGAAAAATTAAAAATATTACTTTTGTAAAGATGCTATCTCCAAATAAGATCCCACTACGAGGAAGTGGGGATTAGGGCTCAAACATAGCTTTTTGGAGAGACACAACTCAACCCAGAAAACACTCTCCTAATTCACACCCTGCAGTGAGTCTCTCCAGGGCAAGTACCAAGTCCTATCCTAAACACCTGCGCCCTGCAGCCTTAGCATCTCCCCCTCAGCTATTCTTATGCCCCAAGCCGTTCTTCACTACCCAGCCATTCCAACACCCATCATGCTTTGTCCTCCTTCTTTTTGCCTGGCAAATTCTTCTGCATTGTTTTTTAAATTTTTTTTTTGAGATGGAGTCTTGCTTTGTTGCCCAGGCTGGAATGCAGCGGTGCGATCTCAGCTCGCCACAACCTCCACCTCCCAGGTTCAAGTGATTCTCCTGCCTCAACCTTCCAAGTAGTCGAGACTACAGGTGCACACAACCATGCCTGGCTAATTTTTGTATTTTTAGTAGAGACAGGGTTTCACCATGTTGCCCAGACTGATCTCAAGCTCCTGGGCTCAAGCAATATACCCACCTCTGCTTCCCAAAGTGCTGGGCTTACAGACATGAGCCACCACTCCTGGCCTCATTCTTCATTTCTTACCAGAAATTCGGTCCTCAGAGACACCTCTCCTGATTGTATCTCCCATGTTATTGTATCTCTCATGGCTCCCCCTTCCTTCCCAATATATCTCATGGTTTTTAAGTTTACATTTATCTGTGATTAATTAGTGGGGGTGAAAGACACTGATCCCTAGTCTATAAGCGCAGAGAGGGCAGGGACCCACCTACTCACCATTGTCTTCCCAGTCTCACAGTGCATGATCCAGAGTAGAAACGCCATCAATATTTCTTAAATAAATTATGTATTTTGGGTCCCCCATGCCACCCTACCTAGTATGGGATTAGTGAATGCCGAGTGAATTATTTCTGTCTTTGACTTCCAAGAGAGTGAATTCCTCTAAGGCAAGATAGGTCTAGCTCTCTCTTTATTTATGGTTTTCTTTTGAGTCTGTGGTATCCAACCTCTGCTCCTTGATCCTCTATGTATGTTATCTAGGCTGCATAATCAATTATCCTAAAACTTAGGAGCTTAAAACGGTAACATTTAGTATTTCACAATTTCTGTGAGGCAGGCATTCAAGTGACATTGCCAGGTGTTTCTGGCTCCAGGTTGCTCTTGAGTTTATATTGAAGATTTTGGCCAGGCCACAGTCATTTGAAAGCTGCTCTAGGACTGCCGGAGCCACTTGGCTCATACACATGGCTGGCAAGTTGGAGCTGGTTTTTAGCAGGCAGCTCAGTTACTACTCATGTGAGTCTCTCCATAGGACTGCTCAAGTGTCCTCACAACATGGATGCCCCAGTAGTGATCAAGACAGAGCAAAGAGGAAGTTGCAATGTCTTTTACAACTTTATTTTGGAACTTGTGCTCCATGATTTCCGCAATATTCTATGGGTTATACAGGTCAGTCCTATTCATGGTAGGAGGTGACTACAGAGGGGCATGGATACCAGGAGTTGAGAATTATCAGGGTTTATGGTGGAGGCTGGTTATCACACTCTCGTTTAGGTTTCTTTTTCTCCTACTACTTGCCCCCTACTCCTTCTTAATCATGGAACACTGTTCTTTGCCTTCAAAATATTTATCCTGTTATATGATTACATATTCATTTAGTTTGTCTCCCTCCAACAGACTGTAAGCACCACGAGGGCAGAGGTTGTAGTCTTCGGTTCAGCACTGTGCCCTCAGTTACCAGCACAAAGCATAGAGTCGGTGCTGGGTGAATGCCTTTTGAATAAATTATAAGGATTTGCTTTGGTCTGAATTACAAGAGGTGTTTCTGTTTGTCTCCCCTCTGCATTGTAGGCTCCTACCTCAGGACCTGGCATAAAATTAAGGAAATGAATGTGAGGAACACTTTTGAAATGGTGACAACACATCCAGATTAATATTTTGCAGGACATCTGCACACACCTTTCAACCCACCATCTACTAGTTGTGACTTTGCTCTGCTCTGGGAGATGGCTTAGCTTTGCATACGACATAATTCTAATCTAGTTTCGCACAGTTCTTAGGATTTGTTATAATGGGACGGGCAAGGCTGTGCAGCCCATTGCTATGAAGAAGTAACTTCTTTTTTTTCTTTTTGAGACATAGTCCTATTCTGTCGCCCAGGCTGGAGTGCAGCGGAGCCATCTCAGCTCATTGCAACCTCCACCTCCAGGGATCAAGCGACTCTTGCCTCAGCCTCCCAAGTAGCTGGGATTACAGGCGCACGCCACCACGCCCGGCTAATTTTTGTACTTTTTGGTAGAAACGGGGTTTCACCATGTTGACCAGGCTGGTCTCGAACTACTGAGATCAAGTGATCTGTCCGCCTTGCCCTCCCAAAGTACTGGGATTACAGGCGTGAGCCACTGCCGCCCAGTCCCTAGAAGTAACTTTTGTTTTCTTTTTAGCTGAACTTAGTGATATAAGAGCTTAAAGAATTGACAGGCTCTGGGTTTCGCTTCCCCAAACCTCTTTGTCCGCCTCAAACACACACAACAGGAACAAAGCCCAGCAGTGATTCACGCCACAACACTGGAAACGCTGGAGGAACGGAGCCCGCGGGTTGCTCAAAGCACGTCACTTCCGGGATCCAGGGTCGCGGGGAACTACTTCCGGGGGAGCGGCGCGGCGGCGGGGGAGGTAAGTGCCGCTGCTTCGCGGCGGGGCGGGGTTCGGGATGCAGCCGGAACCGAAAGAGAGCTGGGCTCGGCGTGGCCCAGGTCGGTCTGTGCGCCGCGGCGCCACTCTGCGGACCTGGGTGTCGCTCCGCTCAGGTCCTGAATAAGTTCCCGTGGCGCTGGTTCGAAAGTTACTTCCGGAGGGGAATTTGAGCTCCGGGGAGGCGGAGGACCTCGCCTGGTGCATACCAACGCTTTCGTGCGGAGCCTGGGCCAGAAACCTGGGCTCCTCATGGCCTGGTCCCGGCCTTTCCTCCCACGAGTGGAACAGTAGGAGGAGCCTGAGCTCCAGAGTTTGGCTAGGGTTCGAATCCGTATGGCCGTGTTACCGTGGGCAAGTCACGGTTTCTTTCTGGCCCTCAGTTTCGTCCTCTGAAATGGACATGCGCTCTTGTTCTGCGGGTGAAACGAGGTAGTGAATGTAAATCTTAGTTGGTGCACAGTGCATGCTTGTTGGAAGAATTCTTTTTAGGAGAATTCCTAAAATGAATTCTCTTAAAATTCTCGGGAAATGAATGTGAGAAACACTTTTAAAATGGTGACAACACATGTAGATTAATAATTATATTTTGCAGGGCATCTGCACACCAGTTTCAGCCCACCGGCTGGCTACCCATTGTGACTTTGCTCTGAGAGGTGGCTTAGTTTTGCTAATCTAGTTTTGCGCAGTTCTTAGGAATTTGTTGTAATGGGACGGGCCAGGCTATACAGCCCATTGTTATAAAGCGGTAACTTATTTTCTTTCTTTTTTTTTTAAGCCATTTTATTTATTTATTTATTTAGAGTCATAGTCCCACTGTGTTGCCCAAGCTGGAGTGCAGTGGCGATCTCGGCTCACTGCAACTTCCGCCTCCCGGGTTCAAGGAATTCTCCTGCCTCCACTTCCCGAGTAGCTGGTATTATAGACGTGTGCCACCACACCTGGCTAATTTTTGTACTTTCTGTTTGTTTGTTTTTGAGATGGAGTCTCGCTCTGTCGCCAGGCTGGAGCGCAGTGGCGTGATCCAGGCTCACTGCAACCTTCGCCTCCTGGGTTCAAGGGATTCCCCTGCCTCATCCTCCTGAGTAGCTGGGACTACAGGTGCACAGTACAATGCCTGGCTAATTTTTTTTTTTTTTTTTTTTTAAGTATTTTAGTAGAGACGGGGTTTCATCATGTTGGCCAGGGTGGTCTTGATCTTCTGACCTCGAGATCTGCCCGCCTCGGCTTCCCAAAGTCCTGGGATTACAGGCCTTAGCCACTGCGCCTGAGTAATTTTTGTATCTTTAGTAGAGATGGGGTTCCACCGTGTTGGCCAGGCTGGTCTTGAACTCCTGACCTCAGGTGATCCACCCGGCCTTGGCCTCCCAAAGCGTTGGGATTATAGGCGTGAGCCACCACACCTGGCTTATTTTCTTTTTAATTAAAAAAAAAAGTTCAAATATAGATGGAGTCTCACTATGTTGCCCAGTTGGTCTTGAACTCCGGGAGGCAAGATATCCTCCTGCCTGGAACTCCCAAAGTGTTTGAGACTACTGGCGTGAGCCACTGTGCCCGGCCTAAAGCAATAACTTCTGACACTGGTTTCTATCCCCCAGTCTGTTTCAGTTGAATTTTCACAACAGAATTTAAAGTTATTTCATGAGAAGCCAAGAATGCCCCACCATCACAGCACACAACACTGGGAGATGGTAAGGCCTATGGCAGTTGTGAAATCTGAGTTTTTCAGTCTTAAGAGAAAATTTAGTTAGTATTTGCCGAGTCCTGAGAGCTATGCTTGTCTCCGTGGTTATTTGTTTTGAAATGCTGACCCATTCTTTTTTCTCCCAATAACCATTTTGTTTTAGAATAATTTTAGATTTACAAAGTTATTGCAAAGATACTTCAGTGAGTTTCCCCTATTATTAACATCTTACATTAGTATAGTACATTTGTCACAATTACTGAACCAATATTGATACATTATTATTAACTCTAATCTGTACTTTATTCATTTTTCCTTAGTTTTTCTCTAATGTCCTTTTTCTGTTCCAGTATTGTCCAGGGCACCCTGCTACATTTAGTCATCATATCTCCTTAGGCACCTCTTCTCTGTGATGGTTTCTCAGGCTTTCCTTGTTGTAGATGAACTTGAGAGTTTTGAAGATTACTGACTGGTCAAATGTTTTGCAGAAGGACCTTTAAATAGGATTTGTCTGTTTTTGACATGAGTAAATCAGGGTAATGGGTTTTAGGGGAGGAAGACCACTGATATGGTTCAGCTATAACCCCACCCAAATCTCATCTTGAATTGTAGCTCCCATAATCCCCACATGTTGTGGGAAGGACCCAGTGGGAGGTCACTGAATCATGGGAGTGGGTTTTTCCCATGCTATTCTCCTGATAGTGAATAAGTCTCAGGAGATCTGATGGTTTTATAAAGGGGAATTCCCCTGCATATACTCCCTTGCCTGCCGCCACGTAAGACGTGCCTTAGCTCCTTCTTTGCCTTTCACCATGATTGTGAGGCCTCCCCAGCCATGTGGAACTGAGTCCATTAAACCTCTTTTTCTTTATAAATTACCCAGTGTTGGGTATTTCTTCAAAGTGGTGTGAAAATGGACTAATCCAACCATGGAGGTAAACTGCTATTCTTATCACATCATATCAAGGGTACATACTATCGGTATTAGTTATCATTGTTGATGTCTATTAACCTGGGCCACTTGACTTGAGGTTATAGTCAGGGTTTTCCAATGTAGAGTTACTTTTCCTCCCGTAGTTTCCACACTGTACTTTTGGAAGAAAGTCATTATGTACAGCACACATTTAAGGAGTGTGGAATTATGCTCCATGCTTAAAGGCAGAGCATTTGCATTAGATAATGCAAATTATTTGGAGTTCTTCTCTGTGGGAAATTTGTCTGTTCTCCTATTTATTTATTTATTTATTTAGAGACGGAGTTTCGCTCGTTACCCAGGCTGGAGTGCAATGGCACGATCTCAGCTCACCGCAACCTCCGCCTCCTGGGTTCAGGCAATTCTCCTGCCTCAGCCTCCTGAGTAGCTGGGATTACAGGCACGCGCCACCATGCCCAGCTAATTTTTTGTGTTTTTAGTAGAGACGGGGTTTCACCATGTTGACCAGGATGGTCTTGATCTCTTGACCTCGTGATCCACCCGCCTTGGCCTCCCAAAGTACTGGGATTAACAGGTATGAGCCACCGCGCCTGGCTTCTATTTATTTTTTCTCATAGAGTCATTTATTTGTATTGGTGAATTCATGGCTTTTTTTTTTTTTTTTTTTTGAGACAGAATCTTGCACTGTTGCCTGGGCTGGAGTGCAGTGGTACAATCTGGCTCACTGCAACCTCTACCTCCTGGGTTCAAGTGATTCCCTTGGCTCAGCCTTCTGAGTAGCTGGGATTACAGCTGTCCACCATCATGCCTGGCTAGTTTTTTATAGTTTTAGTAGAGACAGAGTTTCACTATGTTGGCCAGGGTAGTCTTGAACTCCTGACCTCATGATCTGCCTGCCTTGGCCTCCCAAGTTTTTTTTTGTTTGTTTGTTTGTTTGTTTGTTTTGAGACAGAGTCTTACTCTGTCACCCAGGTTGGAGTGCAATGGTGCAATCTTGGCTTACTGCAATCTCCACCTTCTGGGTTCAAGTGATTCTCTTGCCTCAGCATCCTGAGTAGCTGGGATTACAGGTGCTCCCCACCACGCCTGGTGAATTTTTGTATTTTTAGTAGAGATGGAGTTTCACTGTGTTGGGTAGGCTGGTCTTGAACCCCTGACCTCTGGTGATCCACCCGCCTCGGCCTCCTGAAGTGTTAGAATTACAGGTATGAGGCACTGTGCCCGGCCTGAACTCATGGATGCTTTGGGCTATCATCCGGTACTACTTTATTTTGTTGCTCAGATTGTTCCTGCATTGGCCTTTGGGAGCTGGCTCTTCCACTTGGCTCCTGTATCCCTTTGACAGACCCCCTCATTGTGTTTTGCTTTGTTTTGTTTTGTTGAGCACCTTCTTACTTTCTACTCTAGGCTTATCTCCTATGTTTCTGCCCCAGTCCTAGAATTAGCCATTTCCCAGGGAGACCTGGCTCCTTTTATTGGAGAATGGCCCAGAAAACAAGATCTGGGCTCTAGGTAGTATGCTCAGTGCTACGTAGTGTCCTTGCTTCTAGGCCTTTGCAGTGGACAGAGCAAGAGACATATGTATATATGCACAGATCTAGAAGTATTTCCATATGGAACCACCAGTATCTATGTTAAGCTGTACATAACTGATATCCAACTTTTTTTTTTTTTTTTTTTTTTAATGGGCTTTCACCATGATGGCCAGGCTGGTCTTGAACTCCTGACCTCAGGTGATCCACCCACCTCGGCCTCCCAAAGTGCTAGGATTACAGGCGTGAGCCACCATGCCCGGCTCTGATATCCAACTCATATCCATTGACAGCATGGCTTGTTCTAGCTCAGCAGTCCACAACCTTTTTGGCACCAGGGACTGGTTTTGTGGAAGACAATTTTTCTACAGACCCAGGGTGGAGATGGTTTTAGGATGATTCAAGTGCATTACATTTATTGTGCACTTTACTTCTGTTATTATTACATTGTAATATATAATGAAATGTTCATACAACTCACCATGATGTAGAATCAGTGGGAGCCCTGAACTTGTTTTCCTGCAACTAGACAGTCCCATCTGGGTGTGATGGGAGACAGTGACAGATCATCAGGCATTAGATTCTGATAAGGAGCGCACAACCTAGATCCCTCTCACATGCAGTTCACAATAGGGTTTGTGTTTCTGTGAGAATCTAATGCAGCCACTGATCTGATAGGAGGTGGAGCTCAGGTGGTAATGTGAGCGGTGAGGAGCGGCTGTAAATACAGATGAAGCTTACTTCCTGCTGTGTGGCCTGGGTCCTAATGGATCATGGACTGGTACTGGTCTGTGGCGTGGAGGTTGGGGACCCCTGTTCTGGTTTCCTTCTCTTGCTTATGTGTAACCTCCCACTCCACCTGTGACAAACCCGACTCCCACTATTCACCATACATTTACTTAATTATTTAGTGAACCTGTATCAGGGTTTTTAGAATTGCTCCCTTGTATCCCCTGTGGGAGGCAACTTATCAGCTGGAGTACGTTGTGGATGTGCGGTTCCTGCTGCCTTCAATTTTACAGGCTCCACTCATTTTCAGAGTTACTTAGGTCAGTACCTTATTCCCCCGCCACCGTTTCAGTGAAGTTGTTTAATATATTTAGATTCAAAGTGTCACATTCTGCATTCCATCTGAAACACCCTGACTTCACATGTGTGTGTGCGTTTGTGTGTTTTAAAAACAGGATCTCACTATGTTGCCCAGGCTGGTCTCAAACTCCTGGGCTCAAGCAATCCTCCTGCCTTGGCCTCTCAAAGTTCTGGGATTATGGGTGTGAGCCAC